GTAAAAAAAAGTTTTCTTGCAAAACATAACGTGTCTGCTACGTTTTCTAACGCGCATAAGAAGGTTACGCGCGGAGTATCTAACGAGCGACTCTGACAGGGGATTGATTATCGCGAGCATTATAATACTCCGGCAACAATGTGCTATTCTGTAATTTATGAGAATTGGAAAATGTACTATCATCAGAACGCTACCCACGAGTCGTGCAAGTCGTCACGACTATGAACGAAGCTAAGGAGACAACGAACACGTGGCTAGATCAACGAACTAGCATAGTGCGGCAAGTGGTTCAAAACAAGTCATAAAGATAGCAAGGCCACATTCTTGAAAATATCATACGTAACTAATTGAGATAATGATCATAGGAGCTGAATGTGTAAATTACGAAAGAATTACCGGCGCTATGTGATAAATCTTTGATAGGCTTTATCAGTTTTTCTCAACGCGCAATTAAAGATAACTAAGAAAATTTACATTTCTTTCATCTTCTTATTTACTCACAAAACTTCAACGAAAGAAATTAGAAGTTTTGATAACAAAGTTCTGATAAAATTGATAAAAACAATTTAACTAATCAAGAGGTTTGAATTATATAATTACAACCGTATATAATTCTCTATAAGCATAACTTGACTGCGCAAGTAAAGTTATGTACATATATACATAAATATACATGTACATTTCATATATTTTTATCTAATTTTTTATCGACACTAATTAAAATAATTACGATTGTAAAATAGCATTACCAGATTTTTCGAAAAGAAAATTAGAACTTATCAAAAAAGGATAGATGGTTGATGAAATAATGATTAAAAGATGTTAACCGTTAATCCGATCATTAACTAATATCAAGCAATGTTAGCAGTATTGTGTCCTCATTTCTAAAAAAAAAATATATTGTCTGCTATTCACTTCCTTTCCAGATGCTTCAAGCACGATACCTTTGACAAGAGTAATGCGTTAACATAACGTAACATGTTAATGTTGTACGTATACATAATGTGAAAGTACTACATTCTAATGTATGGAGGGAACAGGGTCAAGAAGACGATTAAGAGGCGCCAGGTCGTGGCACGTGAAGGAGGCGACGCGTTTCGCTTGCTCATGCGTCTCTTCATTATAACTCGCCTTTTGCCTTTTTGCCGGCCCTCGCGGCATAGTTTCGCGGTCGCGTTACGCTCCGCCGACACGGCATCGCGCTGCCACGTGCAACAGTGAACGCGTATCCGCGAGAGCGCACTCGATGGAGGGCAACGGGATGATTCGATCGAACATCTATATCACGCGAATCGATGTTTTAAAGGCGAAAGGCGTTTAGCATTAATTATTAAACAAGAGACTTAGAAATGGAGTCAGTCATTATGGAGAGAGCAACTTTGTTTTAAATTTTTATCTTTAAGAAAATACGAACAGTTGATAATATTATAATTATAGAAGCAGTGGCAAAATAAATTTTACAAAAAAACTAATTTATGTATTTTAGAAAAAAGGTTTAGTCTATAAATATTTTTAAAAAATAAATTCTTATTAAAGATATTTTTTTATACGAATGCAAATTTATATAATTTTAGAAATCAACAATTTGAAGATGCGTGCATACCAATGCGTCAAAATTTATCACAAGATTGCTAAAAGCGTGTTTATTCACACGTTTGACCATTTCGTCAGGTGGTCTCGTTTACAAAAATGCACGTGCCGACATGTCTGGAGAAATAATTATATCTCATATCATAATATCTTCCATATTTTACTTTGGAATTATCACTTTTATCTCGAGATTGTCGAAATCAGAGTCATCAACTTGCAATTAGTAAGTTTTAATTTATAAATTTAAGAAAATATGAAATAAGTTTATCGAAATATCAAGCAATTTAATATTTAATATTAATTAATTTAAAAAAATATATATATATCGCATTGTAAAACCAAATATATGTAACATATATCGACATCAAATTTTTTTTAGAAAAAAAGTATAAAGAAGCTATTACATTAAAGTAAAAAAATTAAATTTTATATTAAATAATTGCATAAATCTACTCTGTATATTGTACAAAATAAAGAAAATTATGATATTACTATATTTTCCATGATAGTTAAATTAAATCGGTATTGTTATAACAAAAGAATGCAAAGAAATTTATGTTGCTTTCTTAATAACAATTATTATTATTAAATATGTTATGTACGTTGAATCGCATGAGTCTTTACTCGATGCGCGATAAACTACAATGTTTTACAACGCAGATTTTGCTAATAGCTCATATACAGATATTGATCTCCTATGTACGTTAATTTCGTACTAGTAGTCGCCTCGTCGATCAATCTATTGCGATTTGGCTTGATTGCTTGGTTAGTGGCGCGACAAATATGGAATACGAACCGCAATCTCTCGCCAATCGCCCGGAGGTAAATACCGCAAAATCGAAAGATAATCATAATTTGTCTCTTTTCCACGGCCTTTTACCGCGTATCGTTAATATTTTGATGCGCATGATATTTGAAAGATTATAGAGTCTGCAATTTATTCCATTGATAATCAGCAGAAATGTGTAATGTCTCGAATAAACGATTGAACAATCAATCAAATGACAAAAAACTTCCTCAGTCTTTTTGCATTCTTTCATAACGATACCAATTTAAATAAGCTTTTTAAATCATTTTTCCCTACTTGTGCAAAAATACAGGATAAATTTATATAAAATTTTCTAATGTAAAATACAATTCTTTTTATTTCAGTGCAATAATTTCTTTATATTTTTTTCTAAAAAAAGTGCAGCATGCGAAAGAAATGTTTGTGCAATCTCAAAGCTTTATTTTTTCTCGCTGATAGTTGTTTATCTATTATACGTAATGTAATTCCGTATCAAATTTATTCGTATTCTTAAGGTCAAGGCTACACATTTAGACGATTATGCGGCATTGACTCCGATATTACACGATAGAGGATGTCTCGGCGTGTCGCTTTGCGTCTCGATGAGGTCAATACACTCGTTGCATTGCGCACGCTATGAGTTCTATTATACGCTCTCCATCAGCCTAAGTACCTGCACTCGATGCATTTACGCGCGCACAAGGGGTCATCGCACATTCGTTATGGGGCTAATACATACGATAAAATCCCGCAACGACTGCATATCCAGTACAAGTGCAGTTGATAATCGCGTTTTCTCATTATTAATATCATCGTCAGAGGACAAACATTGGATTCTACATAAACTAATTTTATTAATTTGCCCCATTTTTGCACAAAATGGAGAAAAATCATTATTACTCTTTCTAGATAAAACTAATAACTTTTTTTTACTATTGATTAAAATTATAATTTATAAAAAATCAATAATTTGAGATATTACGATAAAATAGACGCGCAGCAAAGCAATATAATGTATCTGTGTAATAAAGATAAAAATTATGTAAACAGTAATAAAATATAAAATTGATGATTAAGTACTAGTCAGTTTAAATGCACAAATATTACGTCACTGACGATACTGCGCAATTTATCTCATTGCCATGTCACAAAAAAAATAGGAAAATCTGAAGTTAATTTATCAAAGCTGTCTCTATAAAAATGGAGAAAAATGTATGTAATGATACATGAATATAATAGCACTAGTCTTGCTAATGAAAATTGTCTCGCATTGTCTAGGTACTACGACAATCTTGAAAATTGACAGAATATAATGAGTAAATGAAAACTTTTGCATTCACTCGACTTCAATCTGCGTTATGCGAGGAACTTAATGCATCGCGATCTCGCGAGATGACCGTAAAAATAAAACGCAGAAATACGTCTGGGACGTATAAAACTCCGACTGCGGTTTTGCCTTTCGCTCGCAGCGCGAATTCTCCGCCGTGAAAGACGGCAATTCCCGCTCCAGTAGGAAAAGATCCATAAATTCCAATGCTGCTAATGGTCAAAGCAACGCGCTTTGGACCAAAGTGGCGTTTTACTGCGGCTGCAATTCGCGCACGTGTATGCGAAGTAATAACGCGAAGAATTGATTTTGAAATCACTTAAAAACGACAGAAAACACACTTGAACAGTGATATTTTGTACGTATATTTTCAATAATTAAATGATAAAAACTAATTGTTGATTTTTCATCAACTTAGATTGTATAAATAATGCAATTTGCATAATCTAAACATATAAAAACATACTTTTTGTGATAAACGTAGGATACAGCGTACGATATAGTATTTGATAGCATATATTTTATGCATAGAATATACATAGGTAATCAAGATTATTTCATAGCGGATCAAACTCGGAGCACAAGCGTTGTTAGCATAATAATTACTATAAAGATTACTTCGAATTTTTACTCAGAGAATTTTCCGGTTAGAGGAGACTCGTGTTATAAAGCATGCTATTTAAACAAATTATTCAGGTACAATATCTTGTATGCAATTGCAGATACGGAATAAAATGCTCAGATAATTACATACATGCATGCATAATTAAAATTTAAAACTTAGAAAAGCCTGCTAAATGAGTCTATAAAACATGAGTAATAAACAAATCCTCTCTCTTTATCCTTGCAAAAAAATCGCAAAGTATTTACATTATTAAAGCTCGCTGACGATTACAATTTGCATCAGAATTTGAGATAGAAATCTGTTTCTAATTTTATGTAATAGAAAACATTCAAAAAATTTCAATACATACATACAAAAGATCACTTAACTATATGCATGTAAATTTTGATTTTTTTAAATGTTTTTTGTATTTCACAGCACATAAAATCATAAATACAATTCTATCTCGAATTTTGTCGCAAATTATAGATCGAAAAAAATCTTTTAATGTTGCAAAGAAATTAATATTGTAAAAACTGAATTTTGACACAAGAAAATATTGCAGAGAAAAAAAGCAAGATTATTATGAATATTTATGCACGAATATTTTTAAAACAACTTCCATATGTATTTTTTTATGCATACTTCAATTTTTATTATGTTGTTTTTTTTATTTTACGATTTCTTTACAGAAATCCGACATGGTGGAAGAGGCGATCCGGTTTGGAACGCGGGTTAACGGTGATAGCGGTTTCCGGGTTTCTTTTATGCGTCGCTTTGGCGGTGGCACTTGGAATTTTGGCAGCCAACACATGCAACGTTACATCCAAGACCGGTAAGAGCATTTACTTTTATAGCGACCTGCAGTACAACACGAATCGCTCGTGCACGCGCGTTGCAAGTGCACTGCTTGAGAAGAAACAAAACTCACACTCTTCTCTTTCCCCAAGATTTATGTTAAAGCCGAAAAAAAACCTAATACATGCAGCTTTGAATTAATTGCCTGAATCTTTCATTCCAGAAATTATAAATAAAAGATACTGAATATGAATTATGTTACACGCATTTGAAATGATACGCAATAAGATATGCATAGGACGAATCACCAGAAACAAAACATCTCAATATCTTTCTTAAGTTTGAAGGTACAAAAAGAAAATGTAGAACAGAATTTAAATGATTTTAAACATCTCTCTAATAATCTAAGATTTAATGCAAAGAAATAATAATTCAATAATAATAAATAATAATGTAATTAAAATAAAAAATATTCCGTTCCTCTTATTTCGCAGAATAGAACTGTAATCCTAATATAATCAAAAAGATAGGAGCATATGTAGATTGCATTTATATTCTTTATCTATGTCCACGAAAGTCTATCGCCGTATGACATTTCGTATGCAGAATCTGTTTATCTCGGAACGAATAAAGCTATCTTTTCAAACTTTGCATTTAAAACTTCGCGACATTTTTCGGTACAATTATGGAAAAAATATAAAAAATTTTAATTTTTTTCCTTGATATCTTCATAATCTCAAAAAAAAAAAAATTAATTATTTAACCCTTTCAATTT